TAAGTATGAGAAATAAACAAAAAAGACTAGGAAATCAGGAAGGCAGGAAATTTAAAGTCCATGAATTTGTCTACTTCTCCAACAACTTTCCATAGTTGGAAATATTTGCAGAAACACTTTTGTGTTTCAGCTCAGGTACCTTTTAATCTTTTTAATCTTAAATCTCTTACTTTAGGAAAAGTCATTAAATTTCAGGCTAAAAAAAAATGAAAGAAATATTTTCTGCATTTTTAATGCTATCCAATGTCAAAATGGGTTAAATGTGACCTGAACAATATGTAAAGGTTAAATATGTTTAATTTTTTTTTAAACAAAAGTATAAAAAAAACACACTGACACTGACTTAATTCCAATTTTCTGTCAGTTATGGAGTCCCCAGTTCATCAACACTTTGCTATTAAAAAACAAACAAACTATATTCTGTAAAAATCAACAGACGAGGGTTATTTGAATGTAATTTTCTTTGTATGTGTGTTAGTGTTTCATTTATATTTCCATGAAATGATTGAAAACCATCATTAATCAGATCTGAACATTTTAGAATATCTCTCATAGGTTCAGGGCAGCATTTCGGTAAGATGAACACAGAATCATCAAGAATGTGTTGTTGTTTAAAATAAAATGGGGCTCAAAATTGCCCCACTGAGGGTTAAAGATATGCACAGCAATGCAGAGACAAATAAAAATACAAATCCATTTGAATTCACAGATGCCGGCAATGTTGCTTTTCAATTACTGTACAGTGTACAGATTATAATGATGCAGGTCTTAGCAAATGATTTGGGGTGAACGTTTTTAACACAAACACATTCATCAACTCAACAGCCAACAGTGACACTGGAAATACATTAGACAAGAACCTGCTAAAGATATCACACAAACAAGACTGACTCCAGCACAGTGGGCTAGAGTTCTTTTAGATTTTCACAGGATGCGATATCACTTCCAAATAAGGAATGGAAATCTTTAAGCATCGTTATAGTTGTCTTTCTTTTCCAAAAAACTGTGATGTGTTGGAAGGAACACATCAGCCTCTTGGGAAAAAAATCGAGGAATATATTCATAGTTTGCAAGAAGAAAAAAAATCTATGTTACACAATTAACATCATGCTACTTCTAACCAAATAAGCATTTGACGTTGATTAATGATTGTTGTTCTGCGTGTGTGGTTAGACATGATTGGAATGAGGACTAGAGCGCCAAAGTCTAATGAGGGCAAGATGGTGAATGGGAAGGAAACCCTGCGACTAAGGTCCAAGGGTTCTGCTACAGTTCAGGAAGTGGTGAGTTTTACGTCCTGCCGGACAATGACTGATTACATTTTCAGATGTTCTCAGTGCGCGTTTACACACACACAGAGCTCATATAGAGCATTTTAAATAAGTAACTGAACTGTTTGACTCCACTCACACACAAACAAGCAAACGAAACTCTTTCACAGGAAGTGATCTTTATAAAAAAAAATTATCATTTCCTCCCACACAAGTGTTTAATGGTTGAACCACCGATCATTTTGTTGACTGCCTTTTTCTAATTATGTCTCATGGTTTTCACACACTTGACACAGAGCTATAGCACCTTATTAGTGCTTTTTAGTAATATTTTAAATATGTGGGCTTTAGAGTTTCCGTTTTTCATCAAATAAACCCTGTGGCAGTCATAAGAGACTAGAAAAAGAAGAGAGAACTAGTTGTGCATGTCTACACTTACGTACATGTCTTTCATCTGTAGAGCACGAAATAAACAAGACTGAGTGTGATCAGATTATTTGAGTGAGCAGAGTGCTTCTTGTTTGATTTAATCAAAGTGTCTTAAATTAAGTCTTCTTTATTAGGTTGGAAAAAAAAATCTTGGAAATCATTTTCTTTATGCTGCATATTTTACATTATACTGATCTGGAATGAGATCAAACAGAATATATAAACATATTTACATGATTTCATAATAAGGATAATTACTCTATGGATTTTTAACATTAAGGACTTCATCATCCATAGATGCTCATATAGCTTTATAACAGTAAATTAAAAACAAAGTCCCTGACAAAGGAGCAATCCATGCTGTCTTAGATCCTCTGCCACCATGTTTATCATAGTATTGCACACTTTTGTTCATATGTTTTATGCCAGCAGAATGAATTTGAAGAACGAGCCACCAAAAAAGTGGATGACCTGTTGGAGAGCTACATGGGCATCAGAGACTTGGAGCTGGGTAAGACTTGCCAATTAACATTTTTGTCCTTAAAATAAATGTAATCTTCACTAGTTGATAGGAAAGAGCTGCTAGCAAGGGGTTTCTGTTCAGCATTATTTGGTGAAATCTGATGCAAAGAGGCTTCTGCATCACACTGTTCTGATCACTCCTATTAGTAATTAGACTTGGGAAAATATGATGCAAATTGGAACCATGCAACTTTTGTCTTACTGGTGAAACCAACACATTTCAAAGGGAGTGACTTTTACTTTGATAAGATAAGATAAGATAAGATAAGATAAGATAAGACCTTATTGATCCCACGATGGGGAAATTTTTGCGCCACCTCAGCTCAGGTACAGATATCAGAAGGAAATACAAAAATACAAATAAGTACAATCAATGAAAAAAGTAAGATAATACACTACATACAATGGTAGCATACACAGTATGTGATTATGGATATGGTTGGAAATATGCAAGACATAAACTATATAGCTTGACATAACTATTGTACCACTATTATTCCTATGTATAGACATATACACACACACATGTACATGCGAAAGCGCTCCTTCCTGCAGCGAGGGTGTTTCAGTCTCTGACTAAAGGAGCTGCTCAGCCCACTCACATACTCATGCAGTGGGTGATGTGGGTTGTTCATGATGGATGTCAGCTTTACTAACATCCTCCTCTCGCCAACCACCTCCACACTCCAGGGGACATCCCAGCATGGAGCTAGACCTCCGCACCAGTTTGTCAATCCTGCTCCTGTCCCTGTCCGTGCATCCACTCCCCCAGTTATATGATAGTCTCTGTTTCCAGTATGAATCCTTCTGATCACTACTTGTTGACTAGTTAGCAGACAAGTCAGCATCTTCCATACAAATGTGCTGGAAACAAAAGTAGCCACAGGTAAAGTTTTTGATGCTGGACCATGAGACTGCCAGCAACCACTTGGCAACCAGTTGTGGACTACAGGGAGTGCAGAATTATTAGGCAAGTTGTATTTTTGTGGAATAATTTTATTATTGAACAACAACCATGTTCTCAATGAACCCAAAAAACTCATTAATATCAAAGCTGAATGTTTTTGGAAGTAGTTTTTAGTTTGTTTTTAGTTTTAGCTATTTTAGGGGGATATCTGTGTGTGAAGGTGACTATTACTGTGCATAATTATTAGGCAACTTAACAAAAAACAAATATATACCCATTTCAATTATTTATTTTCACCAGTGACACCAATATAACATCTCCACATTCACAAATATACATTTCTGACATTCAAAAACAAAACAAAAACAAATCAGCGACCAATATAGCCACCTTTCTTTGCAAGGACACTCAAAAGCCTGCCGTCCATGGATTCTGTCAGTGTTTTGATCTGTTCACCATCAACATTGCGTGCAGCAGCAACCACAGCCTCCCAGACACTGTTCAGAGAGGTGTACTGTTTTCCCTCCTTGTAAATCTCACATTTGATGATGGACCACAGGTTCTCAATGGGGTTCAGATCAGGTGAACAAGGAGGCCATGTCATTAGTTTTTCTTCTTTTATACCCTTTCTTGCCAGCCACGCTGTGGAGTACTTGGACGCGTGTGATGGAGCATTGTCCTGCATGAAAATCATGTTTTTCTTGAAGGATGCAGACTTCTTCCTGTACCACTGCTTGAAGAAGGTGTCTTCCAGAAACTGGCAGTAGGACTGGGAGTTGAGCTTGACTCCATCCTTAACCCGAAAAGGCCCCACAAGCTCATCTTTGATGATACCAGCCCAAACCAGTACTCCACCTCCACCTTGCTGGCGTCTGAGTCGGACTGGAGCTCTCTGCCCTTTACCAATCCAGCCACGGGCCCATCCATCTGGCCCATCAAGACTCACTCTCATTTCATCAGTCCATAAAACCTTAGAAAAATCAGTCTTGAGATATTTCTTGGCCCAGTCTTGACGTTTCAGCTTGTGTGTCTTGTTCAGTGGTGGTCGTCTTTCAGCCTTTCTTACCTTGGCCATGTCTCTGAGTATTGCACACCTTGTGCTTTTGGGCACTCCAGTGATGTTGCAGCTCTGAAATATGGCCAAACTGGTGGCAAGTGGCATCTTGGCAGCTGCACGCTTGACTTTTCTCAGTTCATGGGCAGTTATTTTGTGCCTTGGTTTTTCCACATGCTTCTTGCGACCCTGTTGACTATTTTGAATGAAACGCTTGATTGTTCGATGATCACGCTTCAGAAGCTTTGCAATTTTGAGACTGCTGCATCCTTCTGCAAGATATCTCACTATTTTTGACTTTTCTGAGCCTGTCAAGTCCTTCTTTTGACCCATTTTGCCAAAGGAAAGGACGTTGCCTAATAATTATGCACACCTGATATAGGGTGTTGATGTCATTAGACCACACCCCTTCTCATTACAGAGATGCACATCACCTAATATGCTTAATTGGTAGTAGGCTTTCGAGCCTATACAGCTTGGAGTAAGACAACATGCATGAAGAGGATGATGTGGACAAAATACTCATTTGCCTAATAATTCTGTACACCCTGTATACAGTTTTATTTAGCAACCAAGGGGTCACTGACCGGTCAATAGGTCTGTGTGAATGGGAAATTTACAATTAATTTCACAATGATTGTTAGCAACTCCTAGCAACCACTCATAACCGGTCAGGGAATACACAGTTTTCCTTAATGAATGGATGGTTGCTAACTGGCCTCTAGCCCTGTATCTAGCCCTGTATTAATGGGGCATGGGCAGGGAAGGATCGAGTCCCTGACAAATGTAGAAACATAAAGGAACAAGCCATCAGGAGTTTGTTTTTACTCTTCCCAGTAACTCAATGTAAACAATGTTTAACCATATTTAATGTTTAATTTGACACAATTTTGAAGGATTTAGAATTTGGTGCTTTTATGGAGGAGAAGAAAAATGACAAAAATATCTTGTCTAGATGTGCACATGTTCTCAGCTGAAGGACTTTGCTCAGTTGTCAAGGAGAGTTAATACTTGTCATTTCATGCTCAGCTGAGCAACCTAGAGCTAGAGATGGCCATAAAGGCTAAAAGCTCCTGAAAAGAAAAACATTAAGTGGACCTTTTTATTTAGTCAGGGTTAATAATGGTAGAAATTGGCAACATCACTTGCTTTCATCCTTACTAAATATCACAAGAACTGCACAAGGATGAATAATGAGCAAGAATTTGGGTCTATTGTGTTGAGACGTTGAGAGTGATGGGAAATTGCCCTTTCCCAGACTCTCAAAGCCAGTGGCCTGATGTTGCATGAACCTCATCTAAAATAGGGCAATGATTTCTTACCCTGCTCTTCGCCCTGTTGTTTGCTTGGATCTCCTCCTAAAAAAATATGTTTAGTTTCTTTTTCTTTTCTTTTTTTGAGAAAACCTGCATTAAAAAAGGGATGATATTTCAACACACATCGACATTCATGAATACACATCATTCCAGAGACAAGCCAATACCCGTGTTACTGTCTGCTTTTGTAAAATTAAACAGAATTGCAGTCTGAGTGTTTCTTGAGAAAAATGCTTGCACATTTTGTTTTTTTTACTTGGTGCCCCACGGCTTAAAGATTACAAGGTTACACCATAATAACTGTAGATAAGAATTAGTAAATTATATATGTACATTCCTGTGTCCCATTTTCTCTGCAGCAACCACCATTGTGGAAGCGGGCAAAGACAAGAAGAACCCCGATGACTTTGCCGAGGCACTGGATTCAGTTCTGGGGGATTTTGCATTCCCTGATGTTTTTTTGTTTGATGTATGGGGAGCTATTGGAGATGTCAAAAATGGCAGAATCTAGATGTTTGTTGTACACATATGAGAGAAGAAGAGCTCTGTTCTCTGGTATATCAAGCTGCAAAAAGGTAAAACGTAGAAGTGCGTAAATATTGCCTTCCAGTCCCTATATTCATTTTGAATCACTTGCAATCATGGCCGCACTGTGATATTGTTTGAGAAATGGAATGTTGCTAATTTGTGCATAACAGATTCTTAATGTTCTACTAAACTGGACTGTCAAATCTTTACAAGAAATACAATGCACAGTAATCTGCAGAGTAGTTTTTAATGCATTTGGCTAAATGAATAATCAGAAATTACTAATTCATCATCATTAGAAAGCTGTGATTGAATGTTTAATTAAAAAGAGATGCATTTAATAGAGGTCTTGACGTCTGCCACCAGCGTGCAACGGTATGTTATGAAACTGCAAGAGTTGGAATCAGCTGAGGAATCCAGAAAAAGCAGTTAGCACCAGTAAGTCTGTTTCACTTTGAAAGGAATTGCTGCGAAAACAGGAAAGAAACATTTACAGGACATTCAATCTTTCTCTCAGTTAACAACAACTTATGTAAGGTAAATAAAAATGTGTGTTTTGGATTTTACCAAGTGTTCCAGAAAAAGGCATTGCAGCTTTAAATATTCTCAGTCTTGCAGTAGGAGACTGACCTGACTTGAACTTCCAAAAAAAAGTAAAATAAAATAAAACAAAAAATAATCAAAGCTGTCATCTAAAAACTGAATACCAGGGGAGCAATCTAAATGTTCCTGCTCTGCAATACCTGTAGATTCCCACATGTGGAAACTGCTGTCAAACTCCATATTCGAACCATAAGCACCCACAGTCAAAAAGAAATCAAAAAAATATTTTGGTGGATTCTTGTGCTTGTATGTAAACTCTTACTCTTAGTTTTCCTTAAAAAATGGAAAGAATTTCTTGTGGTTGTTGAGAAAAGGAAAATGTTACATATTCACTTTAACATTGTACCATGTTTCACTGAGGGAGCCTTCAGTCTGTTTAAAAAAAGAGAGAGAGCAAATATACTATAGCAGTTTGTTGCAGCATTTCATTATCACTGCTCTTAGTTTCAGTGTGTAGATCTCGCTTTGTGTTTCTGCATTGGTTAGTATATCCAGTAAAAAAAAGGAAGCATTAACTTAACACTGGAGTGGCATATTTTTTCTGCCTTACCATTTTGCATACATAAGTAAAAACCGAATGGCTAAATTTAAATGGTTTGACCTATTACATGGTTTGAGCAATATCAGTACTCTTCTTTGTGTTGCCACTTGACTGCATTTCTGTATGGGAAGTAAAATGGTTAAATATTTAACAGCAACAAATATTTCTGTTTTATTGAGCCTTTATTTACGTGAACAATCAACATTTACTCCTCACTGTCATGGGAGAACTTTTATGGGATGAAAAAAACACTGTTGTGGAAGACTGGTTGAGTTGAGTGACATTACAGCGTGCATTACTTTATGTGCATGATCAGTGTAAAAATTGCTCTCTTCACAAAAAATATTCTCAGTCCACATCAACTTTAAAGCTTAGCCTTGAGATCTCAAAGAAGCAGAAGATTTTATAACAATCAAAATAAAATACAATAACGTTCTCCAAATTTAAACTCTAGACAGTGCACTTGTTTAGGTTATCTAATTGTAGTTTATCTAGATGTTTAGGATGCACTGTACTTCCTCCACGAACTGAGTCCTGCTTTTTAAAGGTTGAGTTCATTCAAATTATAAATCTTCACACATGCATTTTCATACTTACTCCCACTTACACTTAACCATACTTTGGCACAATACATCATTTTTAATTAACACCTTCCATTCAGTTGAGCAGCACTTGTGCATTTTAATGGATGGTATACCAAAATAAAACAAATTTATATCTAAGTGACTACATACCAGTATTTGTTAGGGACAATAAAGAGATGATTTCTGGAGATCATGAGAACGACATACCAGTTATCAGTAAAATTTTCAACTTATAATGAAGTTACCATCTTTTGATCCCTCATTTCTTCACATTTTCCCAATACTAACGTTCAAACACATTGGAATTGCTAACACACTGTTTTCACTGCACATATTCTAGATAAATATACAGGAATGAAAGGTGGGTCAAGACTTTTGATATTTGTAATAATCCATCTTTTTTCGTCTTGTAAACATCCTTCAGCCCATATGTAACAGACAACCTTGAAACAGAATATCTCACTCAGTAAAAAAACAATGAAGTTAAATGCAAGAAACTGATCGTTTAACATTTTTCAATCTTTTATAGGTTTTCAGAGTTTGTGACATGTTCAGTCAGAGTAACTATTAGCAAATGTATGTGAATATAGTATAATATGATATTTCTTGTTAACAATAGGCACTTCTACAATATTACAGTTTCTATATTTCAGGTTCATGGGACTAGGCTGCCTGTGGGTTTCCTCCTAAAATGGTTAGCACAACATCAGGTCTAAGCATGCATTAAACAAAGACAAAACAAGATAATTTATCCTATTTAATGGTACATTAAATACGGTTAACTTAATGCAGCAGTATATCTAGATAGCAGTGCATATAGTTAACTTCAGTGCGATGTATGGAGCTGAGAGTATATGTCTGATCCCTGTGATCACTCATTTCTGATCAGAGAAACAAACACACACTGTACCATGAGCCTTAGTCAGGTGACTTTAAGGTAGACGGAGAAGTGACATTTGACTTTGTTGTTTCTCCTGTTTCATCTGAGCCCAGGTTGCCCCCTAATGAAGATCGTGTGAATCTGCGTGCAGTCTCTTGAAAATATGGGTACAAAGTCATGATTGAGCTCCGGGACCAGTCAAAGCGGGGGTAGACTCTCTTAAAGACTGCCCTCCGGAACAGGATGTAAACCCATGGGTCGAGAATCTGGTTGCAGGTGGCAAAGCGGAGGTACAGCAGCAGTTTCCTGACCCAGAGAGGATCGCTGGAGAACACTGTTTGAGCAATAAAGACCTGGATGTGGAGGAATAATATAGGGACAGACAGAGAAAAGCAGAAGTAAAGAGAAGCATGAAGGAGGAAGCAGTTGACGGGGGAGAAGATGGTAAAGAAAGGAAATAAGAAATAGCAAAAGGAAGAGATTGGAAAAAGCGAATGAGAGAAGGGAGATCAAATAGGTTAATATTGCAGATCCACACAAGCATTCACTATAAGTTATGTCTAGTTTAAAAAGAAAGGCTAGGCTAATTTTGTCATGGTGTCCCTGAGGCAGTGGCTGCTGTAACATAGCCTAATTACCCATTACCCAATTACCCACATTTCATGTGAGGCACAGCATTATTAGCATTACCCCAACTGTCTCCAGAAGGGGGAAAACATGCTAACAAGCTCCTGCAGGAATTAAAAACCAGCCTAGTGTTGCTTATAGTTTCTTTTCAAAATTTAGCTTGTGTCACAGTTCTGTTCTCCTGAGTTTTTGCATCCAAGCAATGCAAGAGACCATGCAAGATGAAGCGTTTTTGTGAGGCAAATGCCTCTCAGTGGTATTGGTACTCCATGGGCTCATGTTTTGCAGAGTGCCAGTTAACATTGGCTTATTTTCATTTTCAAAAACAAAGAAGAAAACTGACATTAAGAATAATAATTTCATATAGGCTCAACTGCAGATAACTGCTTGATTGCATTTGTCCAGTTCGCAGTACTTCCAGGATTTCTGCAACTATACTCCAAAGGAAAACAAAATATTAGAAACTAAATGAAACGAAAATCTGCAAAACGAAAAGCTACCATGTTTCTGATGACAGAACATACGTGTGTTAATTTTTCCAAATTAAAGAACGTGCAAGGCCAAAAAACAAGCATGATGAGAAGTTTAATGGCTATTAACTGGAGAAAGAATGGAACGAAACTTTGAGCATATAAGTATTGGTTTGGAAGCGGCAGTGCGTGAAGTGGACTGATGAGTACAAATCTGTCATTTGGAGATGTTTAGGGCACGTGACCAACTAATTGGCAAAAATACGGTGCCATGGGGGTGAGCGGTGATGGCGGATGAGCAGCGTTAGATTTTCGTTTCACGTTTTACTCGCCTTAGTGGGGACACTTGAAACATGATGTAAATCCATGGGTCTAAAATCTGATTGCAGGTGGCCATTCGTATGCCGAACAAAACCACATTAGCATCAGGAACTTCAGAAGTCTTCATGCACACCAAAATGTATATCTGTACAAGGTATCACACAACTAATGTTAGACCAGACTGCAGAAAAATGTGTGCTCCACTCAGGGACTTTAGTCCTTATTATTTTGTTCTCTGGCAAACTCAGTTAAAAAAATGAAGTAGTTGATTTATTTTTTTTAACTATACATAGGAAATCAAAAGTGTAAAGAACTGAATTATGCAATAAGTGATTCCTATTAGAAGTATAAAAATGATAGGTAGATAATGCAAGATAGGCTGAACGTAACTGAAATTGTCTAATTTTTATACAAATTAAAAATGCATCAGTATCTCATCAGTATCTATAAATAACACCTCCCATAGAAGGTCTGGGTTTTATTTTGAGTCTTGGTTGCCACACTGGAACTTTCTGGACTTTTTCAGTGCTGTTTGACATTGTACTAGATGTTTTCCTTTAAAGGCTCTGCTTCACTCTTGAGTTGAAATATGTCATCTCAAGTGGAGCATTAAGGGGCTCTTTGATCCAGTGTAAGTACAAACGGTTTTCAGATCAGCTAGTAAATAGGCTGCATCACTGAGAAGAATTGAAGCATACACAGAGGAGCAGAGAAAAGGAGCTTAGGACCTTGTGATGCCTCATTAAGGTTCAAACATTTTAAAAGAAGCGCTGGTAACAAAAAACTAGATAGTTAAGGTCATGGCGCGGTGCTTTCAAACATATGAAAACCATTTTCCACACAACAGCAGGTGGACACAGTAAAAGTAAGTGTGTCACCTTGCAGTATCTTGAAGATATTAATTTCCTATCACAACCTCATGATTAATGTTTAGTGAACAGTCTTTATAAATGTTTAGCCCGTCAGGCTACTTTTGTTTTTTATATATATATTCTGAGTATTTCTTCGATCATGAAAAAATAGAAAATTTATTGTCAAGAAACACAAACCTAGCCTAAAAGAAGGTAAAAACAAGAGAGATCTTCCCCTTCTGTCTACAAGAGAAGGCAGTGAAATCTTCCATTGGTCTTATGATCACACAACACACACATAGAACAGACTGCAATTATGGAGTTCAACACACTGTTACACTGGTTGAAAAAGGGCCAGATGTTTCTGTGGAGGGCAGTGACTGTTGTACAAGACCAGAGTGCTCCATTTATCACATCAGTTCACTCTCTGGGTCATCAGATAAATTGTTTCTTTCATATGAGGATTAGATTTGAAAAAGCTGCTACAAATAAAACATTTCTTGACCAAAGACAGCTACTTTATAGAAAGTTAATATGAAGAGACAGGGGTGTACTAGTATTTGTTCAAGCACTTAATGTATACACAGTGTTATGTAACAACTCTTCCTATAACAGAAAGCTTACGTAAATTAGTCAAAGAATCAGATGTTAGATTCATAAATAATTTGTCTGGCCCTTCAGTCTGATCTCCATTTCTGCTTGTCTGGAAATCTCCTTGGCTACATGTGCTTGACACTGAATTGCTCTACCTGAAAGTGTTATCTCTTTCTTTCCGGCTCTCTCTCTGACTCCCTCACCTCTTCTCTGGTGTTGTAGAATAAAGCAGGAATTAGCCGACTGACTAGTCATTTCCAGTGTCATTTCCAAGCATGGAAATGACATTGCTCGTTAATTATTATTTGTAGACTAATTGAATGTTATTGTCCAGTAAAATGCCAGAGTGCTATATAATTGAAAAAGGTACAAAAAGTATTTTTTTTATTAACAGAACAATATCGTACCTTAAATAAAAATAGAAAATTACACCCCATTATATGAGGAATTACAGTGTACATTGTGAACAAGAAAACAGCAGCATTAATGTGACTTTAATTATCATCAGTTATATTTTTACATAGTTTGCTGTTCCAGAACATGAGGTTTACTAACTATTAATGTTATAGACTGGAAAAATGATATAATTCCTCATGCTGTTTGAATAGATAAACAAATAAATAAGAGAAGTGCTAAGTGCCTAGCTTTACATGTTTTTAACCTGTTAGCAGTCGGACGTACCGCCCACGGTACATTGGATGGTTTAGGGGACTAATTGTAAATTTGTAGGACTGCTAAGGGGTTAACTCACCAATTTAAATGTTATCATGGCTAAAAAAAATGTATAATTTTGCATGCGACTGACAGCTGGGTGCTGACGTAGGTAGCTGTAGTGGGTAGCTGTGTGCTAGGCTTCACCTCAACTGAACTGAGATACGGAACTGGATCTCTCACCTGTTTCTAAGAAGTAAGAAAGTTTAAAATAATAATAATAT